AAATTAGGAAGCTTCCCCAAATCTGCAGCATTCTCTAAATTTTTAGAGGAAAAAAGAGATTCTTCAAAATGGAGAAGTTGTTGAAGTTGGTGTAAAAATAATTTGAAGAATATGACTTTTGCTTCCCCATTTTGAAGAAAATTTTGGAGAAGCTGTTGGAGATGCCCTTGCAAATTAGGAGAAACTATAGGGCATTTAAATGCTGTTCAGCCTTCTAAAATATTGAGCTGGTTCGGATAGTGATTTTATCAGAAAACCCGCATTCGACCCGTCAGTTTGAACCTCGTCGTCTCCTCGAACCCTAACATCCAAATTTCAATGAGAGAGGGGGTTTTGGGGGGTGTTTGTAAGAAAAATAGATTTGTCTTCCCCCACCCCCCTTCAGATTGCCCGTGGCCAGAATCGGACTCTGCAGGCAAATACGATGCGTGTGACGGTTGCCCAAATCAACAGATTTGTTCTTCTGCTCATGAAGACCTTGATTCTGGTAACAGTTCTTTTTTTAATTTTAAAATTTTTTGTTTGGGTGTGTGACACAGAAAATGGAGTTTCAGTGCAATTTGAGTAATTTCTGATATGGGTTTTGATTATATTTGGTGATGGATCCTGGCAGTTCATTATACTCTAAGCATGATATTGTTTAGCTGTATAGTTGTTGTTGGGATTTTCTAAAATTCTTCAAACATGATATTGCTAAAGTTGTATTCCCTGAAAAATAAGAAAATTATATATTGTCATAAAGTTTTAACTCCACAAGCATAATCTTTAGTCCTTTATTATGTAGAATTTTTTTCAACTCTGAAAGTATTTTGATTATTACAAGGGATCATTCTTAATTCTTTAAACATGATATCGCTAAACATTCATGGCTTAATCGTTATGATATTGATCTAGTTAATGAAAATTGGACTTCTTATTTTAAAGAAGAAGGCGAGCGTCTTGAATTGCATTTGGCTCCCGCAGATCTTCTCCTTTACCAAATTTATCCATGATTCTCAAGGATTTGAATGAGCATATTCAGTATGTAAAGACAGCGAAATTATCTTAAAATTTTGCATAAATTGAAGCAGTAGCGCAGAAGATATGATGACAGATAAGTTTGATTGATTTGGCCTGACCAAGAAGGCGAGGCGCCGATAGAAAGTATTTTACACATTCTAGAATAAAAACAAATGCTTTGCATCTGATCTCAATTCATTTGTTAAAATTCGTAAATATGTACTGATTAAATTCTTGTTATATTTTTTTCATGTAGATGGCATATCCAACTTAATGCCCATGTGGATGTTTTTTAAACTGCTGACATATCGGGAAACCACAATAAATAGGTAGCCCTAGTTTGTTTACTGATAATGACAAGAGCACTTTCTCTGCCCAACTCTCCTTTGCCCTAGTCGCCATGGAGTACCAAGTCGGCCTCCTCGACGTTGACTTGTGTGGGCCCAGCATCCCCAAAATGCTCGGGCTTGAAGGCCAAGACATCCACCAGGGCAACCTTGGCTGGTCACCCATCTATCTAGATTCCAACCTAGGTATCATGTCCATCGGGTTCATGCTTCCCAACCCCGACGATGCTGTGATATGGCAAGGGCCTCGTAAGAATGCCCTCTTCAAACGGTTCTTGAAGGACGTGGACTGGGGAGAGATAGACTACATTGTGATCGATACACCTCCAGGGACATCTGACGAGCATATCTCAGCCGTCCAATACGTCCAGACCACTGGAATTAACGGTGTGATCATCGTCACAACCCCACAGCAGGTCTCTCTAATTGATGTCCGGAAGGAGAGAAGCTTTTGCAAGACGGTAGGGTTACGAGTTTTGGGTGTGGTTGAGAACATGAGTGGATTGAGGCAGTCTGTTTCAGATTTCACGTTTGAGGAAGTGGGGAAGGATGGATTTGGGGGCTTGTTCGAAGGATTCGCTGAAGGATTCTTATTTGAAGATTAGATCGACAATATGGGTGAAACAAGCACATCGGGATCGTCTCTTACGAAGACGATACATAGTTTGAGCATCAATAACATGAAGATTGATGTTCCGAAGTTCGACGACAAGATTAATTTCGGATTGTGGAGGTGTCAGGTGATGGACGCCTTGGACGCTCAGAATTTGGAGGAGACTCTTGAGTTACAAGAGAAACCTGCCGAGATGGAAGCTAAGGTTTGGAAGAAGATGAATAGTAGGGCGTGTGGAGTTATTCGGTCATGCTTGACGCCGGATCTTATTTATGACGTGATGAACGAGACGTCGGCGAAGAAGATGTGGGAAACACTCAATGAAAAGTATCTTACTAAGAGCATTGAGAATCGGCTTCACTTGAAGAAGAGGTTTTACCAGTTCAAGATGAAGAGGGGAGTTTCCATTAGGGAGCATGTTAACAACTTCACAAAGCTACTTTCAGACATGGCCAATGTGGATATCATGGTTGAGGATGAAGACAAGGCTATGCTACTTTTGTGTTCATTGCCCGAGGATGATTATGGTATTTTTGTCCTAACTATGATTAATGGAAGAACTACTGTTAGTTACAAGGAGGTGACCTCAGCGTTAGTGAATTATGAGTTGAGGAAGAGTGTGGATGAGTCCTCCGAGAAGGCATCGGGAGATGCATTAGTAGTTCATGGCCGTGGTTCAAACCGAAGCAGGAGGTCGCAGTCTAGAGGTGCACATCGTGGGATTCGTAGGAATCAGTGTGCCTTTTGTAAAGAGGATGGACATTGGAAAGCTGAATGCCCAAAGTTAGATCGAGCCGAGAAGAATAAGGGGAAAGCTGTACAAGCTTCAGAGGTGAATGTTGTCAAGACTAGTGGTGACAATTCAGATTCGGATTCTTTGGGCTATTCGTTGTCTGCACTACCGTCAGTTTGTGTTGCCAACTCTACAGAGTGGATGTTGGATTCGGGTGCTTCATACCACGTTTGCCCTAGGAGGGATTGGTTCTCCAGCTTTTCAGAAGTTGGAAAGAGAGGATGTTGTGCTCATGGGTAATGGACATGCATGCTCTATTGGTGGTATTGGTACTGTTCGTATTCGGATGTATGACGGAGTGATTCAGGAGTTGGATGAAGTGAGGTTCGTTCCGCAATTGTCGAAGAACATCATTTCACTAGGAGCTTTGGTGGCATGTGGCTATAAAGTGACCTTGGTGGATGCACGTTTGAAGGTCACATCGGGGTCCATGATTGTGATGAAGGGCGTCAGAAGGAGCAATTTGTATTATTTACTTGGAAGCACGACGATTGATAGCGAGATGACGACTTCATCAGATTCGGCTAGACTGTGGCGTTGTTTGATGCTGGGTTATTTGATTGGTAATATCGTGCATAGGTTGTTGAGGAGTGCTATGACCTGCAGTTTGAAGTCCTGTGAACCCATTGGTATGAGCGAGAAGACCGAGATGGAGTTTGGCACTTCTATCCATCATTCGAGGGGTCTTCTGAGGGGTGTTCATTCAGGCATTCGGGGGCCTTCCAAGAGAGCATCATTGGGAGGTAATAGGTATGTGGTTTTCACAGTTGGGGATTGCTCTAGGCATTGGTGGGTTGCAACCAAGTCCCGTTGGTGTGAAGTCCTAGAAGCCCGTAACAAATGGAGGAAGTGTATTGGTAGAAAGGTGAAGGTACTTTAGTCTGATGTTAGAGGGAGGTACAAGAGGGACCTATTTCTGCATTTGTACCGAGCTAACGGCAATTGGAGACACTTTATTGGTGTGGAAACTTTGAGGCGACGTGACGAGATGGCAGATTTGGGGAGTTGTTCCTTGCTCGATGAGGATCGGCGTTTGATGTCGAGCATTGGCATTGGTGTGCAGGCTACGACATGTTTGAACCGTCTTATGTATAGGTTGCCGACTGCTGCATGTAGAGATATGAGATCTGGTGGAGCTGCTTCAGATTTTGGGTTGCGTCGGATGTTTGGCTACCCAGCACTTGGTCACATCGTGGATGTGAGATTTGATCCGATAGCACATTTGGGATTCAGAGGCGTGTTTGATTATCAGGTATTGGCTTCTGACTTTGTTCTGAGCAGGTATGTCACGTTTGACTCTCGGCAGGTGGAGAGTGGTGATCAGATCATTAGGACATCGCAGCGGGTGGAGAGTGATGCTACTCCACGTTGGGTGGAGACTCCAGATCATACTGCATTATTTGGGATTCCAGCTAATGTGACACAGATTAGGAATCATGCTGATTCGGATGCAGATGATAAGTTGATTGATTCGAGTGCAGCTGATAGATGTAGTCTGAATATGGTCATTGGTTCATCTCAGGTGGAGATGTTTGTATTGTTTAAGTTTGGGGCCATTGGAGGTGCTATCAGCCGTAGACTTGATCGTGATATTGGAGAAGGGTTGCGAACTCTTCTATTTGATTGACGTTGTTAGCGGCCATTTGGGTGAACTACGTTCGGCTTGATTCCTTGGGCAAGAGGATACGTAGGCAGTCTTTATGATGCAGCCGGGTTTGGATTTTGATGGGGGTGAGATCGATTTGGTGAGTAGATACCGATGTTTGGGTGAGTGTTCGTACTCCCATTTGGGTCTCGACTTGTGTGGATGGAGTCCGTTGTCATGAGTCCGTTGCCGTGGCGTACTAGATGCAACAAGTGAGACATTTGTTTTGGTTGATGTCGGCTCAGTTTTGGGAAAAACTTCGCCGAGGTGGAGAATTGTGAACCCACGTGAATGAATTCACGTGAAGAGCTGGGAAAACGTGTGAAGAGATGGAATTAAGTGTGGGGGCCACGTTGAGAAAGTGTGAAGAGATTTGTGAACGCGTGAATGGCAGACATGTGAGCATGTGAGCCGATTTCTCATGACCTCGGGCCCACTCGAAACACGTGAATGAAGCGGGCGTTTTTTGTGCGCAGCGGGATGGCCCACCCGAGTTTTTTGTTTGTGCTGATATAAATATCAACGCCTCATCAAACCTAGGTTGGCGTGCGAAGCGAGGTGGGTTAATTTTCGGCTGGAGGGAGCAAGGCCGGCAGGGTTTCT